GGAGCTGGGTCTCGCGCTACCGCGTTGCAAGCGAGAGCGAGGGGACGGGTTGGTGGGGGAGGGGCCCCATCCCGGCACGCCGAAACCTCGGCCGGGGCCGCTAGTACAGCTTTGCCGCAGCGCGCAGGCTGCAGGCAAGGGGACGAGCGCGTCGGCTACAAGAGGATCCTAAGCCGTGTGCGTGGATTTTTTGTGGAAGATGGCGGGTAAACTGGTGAAGTACAGCTAAGCAAGTGTCCCCCGTAATGTTACGTGCGCCTCCGAAATAAACTCAAGAGAAGGGGTGGCTGGTCAGGCGTCCGCAGACCACAGCCAGAATTAAGCAACAGGTCTTTACAATAGAGCAAATTTTATTGCATGAAATCATAACGGGGGGTGATAAGGGCAGAGATCCTTGTTGGAAGTGCTGCTGCATCTGTACCAAGTGGAAGGAGACGAACTACCGTTGCTGCGTATGGCCAGGGGAAAAGCTGGGCTGCCAGGAAAGGCTTGCTGCAACCTGCGGCCTCTTACAAACGTGGTGTCATCCTCATTAGCTGCACGCTTGAAATTGGTCACCATAAAAAAGACTAAGAACTCCTGATAGCAGCAGTAACAGGACAGTGAAGATGTCTTGCAATTACGCAGAGAAAATGCAAATTTCAATACAAGGGTTATGCAAACTGGCAGAATAAGATAGTATACAGCCACATCTATTTAAGAAACAGTATTTCTACCACTCGAGCTTGGTAAGGAGAAACTTGATGGCATTAATCAAGCACACTAGAGCAGTAATGATTCCCAAGTAGAAAAGAGCATGAGATGTGCACTGGGACGGAGAGGATGTTTTTGTCACTGTCTCACATGGGCTGTGACCACATTAGCAGTCGAGGCTGCAACTTGTGTCCTGATAAGCACCACTTTGGACTGAATCACTTGCCAGTGAATGTAGGTGTTTAAAATTAAAGTATGGGGTTAAGTCATTAAATATTAGTTTCATTGTTTAACAAATTCATAGCTAGAACGTGCAGAAAGACTGAGTATTCTCTTGAAGAAATTAATAGTTATATACTTTTTACGGCAAAGAGAACTGAGGCATGCTAGACATTTCAGCAAAGTAATACTAAGTATTTAATATGGCATTCACATTGTTGACTTGTGTAATCATAAACAAAGTACAAAGGAAGGTCTCTTAAAAAAGAATCAAGTCAGTTGCAGAGTTTATCAAACTACTGAACAGTGGGAATTGCGTTTTTCATTCTGGTTTTAAGAGAACTTCTTCATGAAGTGCAGTTTCAGGTATGCAATGGTAAGGAATATTACTGTCATGCAGGCGAGAGCCAGGTGGTTCTGCCACAGGCCCCAGCTACTCACATCAATGCCTTGATTTTTCAGATACTCATCTCCAGTACACCACCTATGGATAAATACACATTTATAAACTTAGTGTGAAGTATCTAGGAAGATCCCTAGAAGTTGTGGTATGATTTCATGTCTATAGTAGGCCAGGCAAACACCAGCTATATGTTACTATTTTATTTTCTATTTGTAAATTTGTTTTTCTTGTATCTACAATGAGCTTTCTGTAGGAAAAGGGAATTTTGTGAGGCTGTGTAATTGTAGTGTGTGTGTATGTGTTTCAGTAAACGCAGTTTAAAGAAAAGTGAGAAGCATAATGCGAGATATTTCTAGTATTATAAATACTAAATATGATAGAAAGCAGAATGTTCTCTGCAGACAGAATGCAAGAACCCAGTCAAAACTTCATTTTCCATATAAAAATTCACAGATTCTGCTGGTCATCAGTGAGTCTCACGAACAGACATGCTCTAGGACTTTGTAAGTTACTGGTAGTGGGATTCATTTTAGTGTACCAAAATACTTACGGCTGGCTTATCTGTCGATAGTTAACATTGCTGATTGAATTTGTGTTGTTACCACTGCTGCAAAAGTTCAGACCAGTCAATTCATTGATTTGTAAAGCCTTTTAAAATAAAAGAAACAATGACAACAGAAATTAGTAGGTAAAGGAATGATACATTAACAAGATTGGATATAATTCAATTCAAATTTATTCTAAAAACATGACGATGTCACTATTTATTATGTTGGCCAATTCCCCATTTTTTAACCGAGCAGCATGGTTCTTTTTCTTTTAAGAGAGGATTGTATGCAGTCCACATGTGCGTCACCAGGCTTTAACACTTCCCCCAGGCTAGACTACTTCTGCGCAGGCGTATTAAAGCCCAGATTTCTCAACAAAACGTCACCCTGGCTTAAATTATCAAAAATTAGGAGAAACATTTTAGCTTGACAAGTTTTCGTTTGGTTGATGGAAGAGAGAATAATTGTTTTTTAGGGATAACATTGTTCTTTGTATCATTTTTTGTCCAGCTGCATTCCAGTGGATGTAGTTGTTTAGTGTCTTTCTCATACGAGTTGTTTCCAAGTTACAGAAATGAGCTCTCTAAACAGCAATGGATGCTGGCTGATGAGAAGCCTTTCTTGTTTCAAGATGCTGCACTATGTTCAGAGGTTGCTGTATTTGACTAGCTCACCTTTTGCTCATTAGCCCATAAAGTTTGGAGTTTTCTTTATCATGAGTAAAGACATTCCTTTCTAGCAAATCTTTTCCAAGTCTGTACGCAGGAAAATACAGCACTTACTGTCATTCCGTATCGAGGGATGCTAAAGTATTTGAGCCAGGAGAGCCAGGACATGATGCTTGTGAGATTCACCAGCAACCCAGAGAAAATCTAGAGGCAAGGATTACAAAAAAGCCACAACAACAAAACAAATTACAAATTACATGCTGTTACCATGTGTTCTTCTCTAGCTATTGCCTCTGCTTCTTCAGATTAAAAGCAAGTGGGAAGTCATTTCTAGAGGAAGAAGCTCTTCAAGTGGAAGAACATGGGAGAGGGAAGGAATAATTTCTGTTATCTAGCTTTGGACCATAACCCCATGTGGTCCTTCTCCCAAAAAGTAACAGGGAATGCTTTCACCCATGCATTAAACCAAGATGCTTCCCTTCTGTGGGTCCCACATGGGTTCATGTGAACTGTCTGCTGTTACTTGGGTGTGTGGAGCTTCCGCACTCTTTTGCTTGTGTGCCCCGAGTCTGGGCCAATGTGGTTTTTGGCTGTTGGTTCAGTGCTGCCTCATAGTTCATGGCGCCTGTCTTCTAACTGTAGCTGTTTGTGTGTTTTCCAGTTCTAACATGCCTGATGCTTGGCTCTGCAGCTGAGAAAGGCAGCTATGGTAGTGGTCTCAGAGAGCAGGAGGCTGCGGCTCATGTCCTTAGACAGCCAAATCTGCCTTTGGCAAAGCTCAAGGAGAATGAACAAAGGCTCTAGGCTGCTTTTCTACCTTCCAGGCAGCTTACTGGCTGCCAAAGCCACAGAGAACCACTCTCCCCTGCCCCTCACACCCAGCCTCCCAGCCCCCGGGTTCTTCTTAGTTAAAAGGACAAGTCAGAATATTTGACTCCACAGTATCAGAATATTCAAATCAGACAAATCAGGATATTCGACATGCTTGACCCCACAGTCATTTCGCAGAATTCAGCTGAACTCTGTGCTGGTAGGATTTCTAGATTTCAGCATTTCTAGGATTTCAGGATTCAGTCTAGAAAACTGAATAATGCTACTCACAATCATAAAAACAAATGTGATAGTCATGAGCAGGTTTGCTACAGCGACCACGCTCTGTCCTGCTGCAATGGCTAGTGCCATAGAAGTGGCTGTGTAGGACACCATCATAAGGGTAAACGTCATTGTAAAGAAGGCTTCTACTGTTGGTTTCAAACCTTAAAGATCAGAACAAGAAGGGTTTCAGTATGATCCTGCCAAAAGCTCTACCATAACCTGAACACTATCCTGACTTAGGTAGTGTATCCTGCCTACAGAATACATTGTGTCTGACAGCATAGGCTACCTCACTGAGACCCAAGACTGCAGTGGGGCTTGTGACAGCCCATCTGTGCATGGCTTGTCAACAAGAGGACAGGGTGAATAAGGAGTATGCCTGTAACGGCAGTAACACTGGAGATAGCAGAATGGGTAGAAGTTACAGTACTGTACTCCACACAGTCCAAGGTGAAGGCTTCACTGTGGCTTCAAGTAGTCTATCAAAGGAGAAGTTTCTAGTGCACCTCCATGAGCAGCAGTTCTACAGCATTTCACTTGTTTCCTGTAGAGAGCTCTCCTAATGGACCTAGTGGCCTTTGGGTGGCTATGGATTTGGTAACAAGGTCTATCTCACTCCAGTTTCTCAGTCTGAGAGCCTCTTGCTGATGCAGCCTTGTTTCCTATTCCTTAGGGAAGAAAACTCAGACCAAAGTAAACTGTGATTATTTTTAAATTTTGCTTGCACTTTCAAGCTTTTGGGACATCCCAAAAGGATGTCATGATCTGAAACCTTACCATAGGAAAATGGTGTGCTTGGGACGTGTTTTGAGGATGATGTTTGAAGGTGTTCTAGGGCTGTAAAAGTTGGTGCCAGCAATTTTCAAAGCCTACTCACTAACCAGAAGGCATTTCACCAAAAAGAACAAGCTGATATTAATTTGCACAATATTAAGTTCTTAAAACAAACCTTTTTCTCTGATAGGTGTTGCAAGGATAGAAAAAGGATCTAGTAGAAGTCACCAGAAACTAAGATGGCCATAAATGAAAAGGAATGAATCAAACCTATGTAGTAATGGTTATGGCACACTTCCTTCTAGGGATGGTAGAGGTAAGACAGGTCACAGATTCTGACATGAATGCTTATCTTTTCTGTAAAACAGGATGGTATGCTAAAAGCAAGCGCAGTAACTACTGCCATGCCAATGTAATGCTGTAGCCTATATAAATATACACGCATACATGCACATATATAAAATGAGAGTGCCGTGTTGATTTATTGAGGAGGTGGGAGACCTTGTAGGACTGTAGGAGACCATACTTGCCTAACATGAAGTATATTATACAGGTGAAGATGATGCTTGGTATAGTCCTCATGGGTATTAAATCAGCCATTAGCTTTGAGATGAAATATGCAGATGTTCTGTAGTACCCACTGATATATTCATGTCTGGAACACATAGGAATATACAGCATATTAGAAATCTAATCACTAAAAAACAGTAAGATTATTTTCACTTGGAGACAAATGAATTCTAGCTCAAACTGGAAAAAAAAAGTTCTTTTATGGTTAGGCTGCAATGCAAATGTCCAGTAAGCCACGCAGTATACTAATGGTGGCATTTTCATATGCAAATAAATATGGATACTTGTGTACATAATTTGTAGTACATGTATGTGTCATGTTGTCAAACAGAGAGTAATGCTTAAATAATTTTCCTTTTCTGTACAGTGTAATATGCATAGCTTGAAAGAATCCAGTTAGATAGTGTTTACTGTCCTCACTAGCAAATCACAAACTTATTAATCAATACCTAAAGTGAGTATTCAGGGGTTTTTTCCTATATATGTTAATAATTTTAAATTCTGAGCCGTCTGCAATCACACATAACTGTTTTGGGGATTTGCAGACAACTCACTAACAGGCTAAAAGAATACATTTGCAGTGAGTACTAACAGTGAAATAATTTGAAAACTCTGCACTAGGTGTACTTAAATGACAATTAACTACAGCAGCAAAACCAAACAAACTCTCTAATAGTAGTCCCTGATAAGCTTTTTGTATGTTTCACTTACGTAAATATCTTTTTTTCCACAACAAAGAGTTCAATAGCTGAGATGCTGCTGAAACACTGGTTGGTGGTCAGAAAGAACATTGCACCCACTCTACAAAAGCAAAACAGCAAGCTGTTATTAAAAATGTGATGTAAATGTAGTGTTTCCACTACAGCGTACGTAAATCCAACCGTAGTGCCTGGAGCTGCAGTGAGGAGCTGAATAAGCAATGTGAGAAGTTGTTTGTTTTCACCTTTTCCACTAAAATTTAAGGCTTTGCTTTTACACTTTCATATCCAATTTAAAACTGGGCCTTTTAAAAGTAAATGCTATGTAGTGTTTTAAGACTAAGAATCCAGAGCTTTCTTAGTTGCAAACCCATTTGTCAAGTGATGTACATACAGCTGTCAAAATGATACATAGACCAGAATAATGTTTAAATCTAGCTTTAGATGCACCTTCTGACTTACTGCCGGTAAACTCCAACTATATAGAAGCAGTTGCAGGATCAAAGCTTTAGTTACCCAGGGTTATGTAGCCAAGTCTGTATATTTAATCTTTAATCTTTTTATCTTGGGGAAATCTTTGCAGAAAAAGAAGTTAAAATGCTGCCATGCTGAATTAAGCCTTTTTAATATGATGTCATATTGTTGCTATTCAGCTTTTCAGCAACCTGACTGGCACTGAAAAATGTCATTCTAGAGAAGTAGCGTTACTCGCTTCATTTGGACTGTTTGTCCAAGTTACAGCATGGCAGGGCAGAACTGCATCCCCCTTTCAGTTCTGCAGGGACCTTCCTAGAGGCAGAATAACATCCTCCCTTCAAAGTCACTAACATAGGCTTGGCCTTATCTACTGATCTGAAGGGAAGCATTGGCTTTAAAGAGCTAGATACAATTCATAAAGAGCTTGCGGGTTCCTTCTCAGCCTCCAAGCTGTTCACTATCCTATCGCAATGATGAGAGAGCTTTATGAAATTTTTGGATATCCAGTACCTAAACCGACTAACCTGTTCTGTAGTCCAGAGGAGTCCTCTTTAAGTCCAAAGAAAATGGCACCTACAACCAGTCCTAGAAAAGCCGTAACATATAGCTAAATGTAAAAAAGAAAAGAAGAGGAAAAGTATTATTCTCATTGCTTTCAAAGCTTCAGTAGTTTTTTTGAAATATGTCGTGGGTGAGTGTAGGTCGACAGGAAGTGTTTTCAGAAAGGAGAAGAGCTATCCAAGCTGGGAAGAGAGTCGATGGGGTGGATAGCAACCTGCAGCACAGCAGTACTTTGAGTCTTGTGCCTCAGTATCCTTCGAGAGGTGTCTGTGAGACACAGCAGCTCCCCAGTGCCACCTGCCCTCCACAGCAGCCAGCCACTGCTGCCTCACGCCAGCAAGGCACTGGCGAGGCACTGGGACAGCTAGAAAGGAGGGACAGTACAGGAGCTTCAGCTGCTGCTCACTATTCTGTGGTGGCGCTGGCAGGAGGCACATTCCTGCAGCAGCATGCCAGCTTTTCCCCCGACCTCCTGCCGGGCCTGATCTGTGACCTGGGGGAACTGCTCTGGGCGTGCTGGGAGGGTGCTAGCACCAGCAATGGGAGGATGACAATAGCAGGGCCCCACAATAGGTGGGGCAGGTTAGAAAAAGGGAATAACACCTTTCCCCAGAGGAACCCCAGCATCATGTGCACCTCAGCCAAGCTCCTTTCCCCCACCACTGTTTCAGCCATTCTTGGAGGTTGTCTTTAAGTTAATTGGTGATGTATTGCAACATCTCTCCTCTCTCCTTACTGATACTCTCCACCATTCATCCTCGTTGCGACAGCTGGTGGCTCCCCTTCTGCCATCAGTGACAAGAGTAACGTCAGTCAGCTTTAGAGCTGACCACGGCTCTTCAGTGCAGTGCTTCAGCTGGGCTTTCTCTGGAGCCATAAATGCTACTTTGATCCTGGCAACCAATAACTGAAAGCAGTCTTTCCTGACAACACGTTTCGGGGTGACAGTTTATTTTATGCTCCACAGTGTGTAATTGCTGGGCTCTGTCAGCCATCTTATTCACAGGATTGTTTTTAACATGAACAAGATAGTACAATTGTGCTATAGCTGTACTGATATTTGCAGTCTGTGATACAATTTAAATAGCAAAGATATCAGCTGCCTCAAGGATACAATTTAAAGGACTTAAGTGTGTGTATTACACTTTTTTCATGCTAAATATAAATTACAAAAATCTCAGAAGAACTGCTGGTATCAGACAGTTCTGTCATTTTTAAGTGTGAGCAATACATGAATCATAATACTATAAACCCCTTGATCTGTGGTACCTTATCGCTAAAATCCTGCCGAAAGAAGCAAATATCAGGGATAATTCAGCTCCTAAGCCAATTGCAGTGGAAAGCAGGGATCATTTCAAGACCAATTTGGAGCAGATTAATGAAAAAAGGCTTAATGAACTGTGTACCTCTCAAAGAATGCTTGTAAAATCCAACCCTAATGAGGGTGGGGAGATAGAAAAGATTGTGCAAAACAAGTTGGGACCATTAACCTTGGGGTATTACGAGATCCTCAAGAGTCTAATTCTTGTCACAAGGTCAAGCTTTTACAAAGCAATTATTAAGGATCTCCATAGTATCAGCATACAGACACACACACATACTCAAAGCCTTTTCACCTCGGGGATTCTGGACTCATTTCCCCTCCACACTGGCTGTTTGTTCACTCATTATATAAACCATGATGAAGATAATTTATACCCCTGGCTCAGGACCAATTTTTCTATTGGCTCTTCTAGAATTGCTGAGAATTGCAGTGGGAGTTTTGCTGGCGCTGGGACTGCAGAGTTTGGCTTGTGATTTAGGGAATTCCTGAGGATTAGTTGTTCTGCAGAGGTCAGCCAGGCATTCTTTATTTTTGAAGGCAATGTGCAGCTTTGAAGAAATCAACGCTTTTGGTTCTGATTCTTCTGAAAAAGCAGCACTAGCAGGGCCAGTCATCATCTTCTGTAGCAGGTGCTAGACCTTTATTGTGGTCTTCATCACGTCTTCTTCAGAAGACATCATTATGAACAGTCAAATGACTAAACAACACACACATTACGAGACTGTGAAAATATTTTTACACTTGAGGCAACTGCCAACACTTCATTGTGTGTGGAAGTTTAATTAAGCATGCAAGCGTAGTCTGTGAACTTTCCCTGTGGCGGAGAAGATTTGAGGCCAAACCCCACAGTGCCAAGCCTGGACAATTAGAGTTGAGTCTGAAGAATGCTCTTGAGCAAATGGACGAAACTACTTGGGATTTCCTGGCCAGGAGTAGCAGAATACCCTGCTGGAAAAGATCCTGCCTCCCCAGATCTTTCAGTAGTCCAAAATTAATTCCTGAACAGTCAGTCATGCTGCTTATTTGGGAGCATTCAGGACACCTTCTAGTGAATCAGATTTCCAGACCTTCAACACTCTTTTTTAAAGATGCTTACTGTAGTCAAAATATCAAAAGGCAAAACCATCCCAATGAATTATCTAATACAGGAGTAGAATAAATTCAACATATATCACAAAAAGTTAGATACAAATAGCATTACCTGAGCTATGGAAGCTTGAGGGTTTCCTACCAGATTTTTAAATGTGCGCTTGGACACCCACTTCAGCTGGTGAAGGAAGGAATTAGCATATGTGATTTGTCGGAAAACTGCTTTTGTTTTCTTTTTATTTCCCAAAGAAATATTCTCTAGTACTGCTTTTGTTTCTTGGTAGTAGGCAGAGTTGGAGTATTTTTCTGCTAACTTCTCAGCTAAGGTTTTATCATATTCACTGCATTCTTCAGTGCTCTCTGCTGAAATGATTAAAAAGAAATATGACCATTTGTGTAAGGGATGGGAAGATTGTTTAGGAGTTAAGCCAGAAGACTTATGTTGGGGTGGGAGAATTAGTAACAAACCAGAAGAATTACTATGCCTATTTAGTTCCAGTGATTCATTGCTCTCAGTCTCATAGCATGCAATTCAAAAGAGTTGGTATGAATAAGACTAAAACTCTGTGTTTTAGTGCAACCTGTCCCACAGGCAGTGGCTTCACAGCAGACTGCCTAGGTAAACCCTTGTCCGTCGATGAAGTTTCAAACAGGCAGCAATCTCATTTTAATCAAAAAGTGATCTTTTCCCCCCCAGGTTTCCATAAGTGATTTGTTTTGCAGATCTGATGAGATAATCCTAGACCTCCAAGGCTTGTAGATCCAGGTAATCCTGTGTGTGTCTACATCAGTCAAGCTTCTGAGTCTGTCATAAAGAAATTTCAGCTGGAAGTCCTTTTTTTCTCAACTGTAGTCCAGTGTGTGCTTTTCCAATGACAAATACATGTGTTGCCAACTGTAATATTAGTCAGGCCCTGAACGCAGTCAGCATTTTGGTAAAGATGTAGTGAAACTGTGTGTTTAGGCACATAGCATGTTCATTATTTAATTTCCCTTTTCATTCATGTGAAAAGAGAGTGTGCTATTAATGAGTAGCAACAGACAGGATGAAAAGGCATGCTACTGAATGTAAGTGAGGTTTGATTTGTTGGTTTGGAGATAATTTCTGCCTTATCACAACTTCGGGGAAGCGTCAAGAGAACACTGGTTCCTTATCTCTGCCCCCTCTTACTCGGAGGAAGGAAAACGGTAATTTCATAACAGATAAACCTTTCCATCAGATAAAAAATACAAGTCATAACTGCATCAAATTATGTCCCTAGCTGGAACAATTGTCCTGCTTCATCATCGCTGTTTCTGCAGGACTTCAGCTGATTTGCCTTGACGATAAAAGAAGTTCTTTCTCTGTGTTGAGAGGTAACAAAACAGTTTCTTATATTTCCAGACATTACAACTTCAACACAGACAAATATCCTTTCACCTTTAACATCTCATAATTTGAGTGTGACACAAAAGGATACAGGTCAGTTTATGAAGAAATAGATAGCAATGATAATTTACTAAATATCTATTTATGAGAGGCAAACTATTCTTGCATAGACAAGAATATTTTATATAGTAGGGCTGTAGGTGAATTTGGTACTTATTTCAATTTTTGCTAATTATTTTCCACGTATAAACCAAAAGGATTTAGGAACAGTATGGGTTTTTTTTTTCCATGGTTCAGCAGTACATAACACTCTCATTGCATACAAATAACCATACACTTGTACCACACGGTTATTGGTTGTCTGACACCTGTAACTGATGTTTCTGTGTTGTGCTGGACACCTTCTGACAAAATACATGTTATGATAATTTCACTCAGCTCTGGGTTTCATACCTGTGTTAGCTTCATTGGTCTTGCTCATTGCCACTGCAGTGGAGTCTCCATTAATGACGTCCAGGAAAAAGTCAGCAGGGTTGTTGTATGGCTCACACTCGTAGCCTGCGGTGACAGCATTACAAGCCCTAAGCGGTAGTTGTGTGACTGGCAGAAGGCTGTGCATGGCTGTCATGAACACAGCCACGCCATTGTGCCCACTGAGCAGCCTGCAGCATATGCATTGCAGTCTTCAAAAGGTCTGCGCTTACCCAAGAAATGAACGGCACTGCCAGAGAGCTCTGTCAGTGAAAGCAAGGTGACAGCCAGCAATGTGCCCTTCTCAACCCTAGCCTGAGCTTTGTCTAATTAAGATGCGCCCAGGAACAGCTGACTAGAGGTCAGCCCTATCATCCAAACCCGCATATGGGTCAAGAGGTGAAACACGAAGAGAAATGCTTAGTCTGTTAAAATCCTCGCTTCCTAATACACACTACATCCAATTCTCATCAAGCACTATTGGTGTTTTATTCAGGTTAGTGGAAACTAAAGGTGTTGCTGCAGTTGGCCCTGCTGTGAGTTGTGCTTACCAATAGACTGGAAGTACTCAATGGTGTGCTGAGCGGGCCCATGGTACAACACTCTCCCTGCAGCCAGCAGCGTCAGGTTGTCAAACAGTCGGAATATGGAGTACCGAGGCTGGTGGATGGAGAAGATTATTGTTTTTCCTTGTTTTGCCATCCTGAATGTGAAGAATGACAGAGATGTTAGCTTTGCAAGTGGATTCAGCGTGTAGATAAGAGAATTTGCAAGTTCAGTTAAGCCTTGGTTAAATTTGATTAACTTGGTGTGCCAGAGAGGGGAGGGGGAAGGGGAAAAAAAAGAGAAAGAATATATTTAGGTCAAATTTATAGTGTCTGTGTGAGAAAAGAAAGTTCCTTGTCACTGGGAATGTTGTTGGAGGGGAAGGTCCTGGGAAAATTTTGATACACACAGAAAGCTCCAGAGAGAGGCATTTCAGTCATCTTTGCTTGTAGTAAATGCAAAATGATTTGCACTGCTATTAGGGCGTGTCTTATGCTTGTTTTCCCAAAGATAGGCCTGAGATTTTGTGATGGGGAGACTAGCTATGTGTTCTAACTACCATCCATATTAAAATCAATGACCTTACTACACTGCACAACAGACATTTTATCACTTTTCTGGCCCAGGCAGATACGAAAATAAATGAAGCTGTCCATGAGAGCTGTCATCGACAAATTGCAGTCCTGGCATGCACACACTTTGTGCAAGGCACTTTGTGTACTGCTGTGGGCAGCTGCTTTGGAGTGAGAGAATTCATCCAGCCTTTTTCCTACCCTCTTTGCAGCCGTGGCTTGCTAGTAAACAATTACATGTCTTATTTCCCTGTTTGCTCATTCTAACTGTAATTTAAGTCAAATACAACTGAAATGTAGCAGAGTTGAATGGTGAAAACTGGAAGCTGTTTCCAATGCCATCACCTTTTCAGTAGCAGCAGGACAGCGTTAGCAGTACTGGCATCGAGTCCCGTAGTTGGCTCATCCAAAAACAAGATGTCAGGATCCGTGATGAGCTCCATCCCAATATTGGTCCTTTTCCGCTCTCCTCCAGACACGCCACGAGTGAACTGGGTGCCAACCTGCCACAAAACAAGAAACTTGCCTCATTTGACCTGATGCCAAATACTTGAGTAAACAGGACCCTACCAACATGGTAACATTCGGGAAGAGTTGTAAGAAATTTTGACCCTACTCTCAGGTACAGATGTAGATGTTACCTCACACATAGGCTGTTTCTTAACATTAGTATTACTTGAGGTGTTCTTTTTTTCTCCAACCACAGATTACCTTTCCCCTTCCCCACAATGTAATAGCGTATGTCAGTATCAGCGCGGAGTCTGTACAGATTTGCCATACAGAAATGTTACTAATTATTGTATTACTGCAATATTCTATTTAATTTTAACTTTTTTTTTCTATCATCTGTCATGCTGAGCCATTTGGTTAAGTAAATAAATCGCTTACTTATAATTTGTTTGTGATTTAAGCACCGTATTTATACACCTTACTTTAGAATCTGCCACTTTGCTCAAACCCAGTTCCTTGATGATCTGATTCACCCGTTCATTTTTTTCCTGTTCCTTCACTGATTTTGGCAAACGGAGTGCTGCTGAGAACTTCAAATTTTCTCTTACAGTCAGGGTTCCCATCACCACATCATCCTTCATTAAAAAAAAAAAAAAAAATAGTTACTTGGTGCTTGCTTAGCAATTTCTGATTTTGACTCTGAGAACTGCATCTACCAGTGTTTTTTGTTGTCCTTGCATGCAGTAGTAACTGCCAGAACAGGCGGTAAGGTGCATCTTCAATGCCTGTGTCATAGCAGAGAGTTGATTTCATGCACATAATTGTACTTGCCTTTATTCATAAAGCAAGGCAATATAGGAGCATCCTCCATATCATGCATGATATCAACATGCATAAAGATGAACGTATTCAAAACTATCCCTCATGTATTCTTACCTTATTCAGTTTTTTGGAAGTGTTAGGGTGAGAACCTGAAGAGTTAAAGGGACCTAAGGAGCAGCTACAGCTCAGGTCACTATCACTGTGCATTTGTTAAAGCAGCTGCAGCCCACCACAGGTAAGTGCAGGGAGAAGAGAAGGAAGGAAACTAGAGGTTTAGTCCATGTGAGGTAGGGTGAAGGTTTTCCAAGATTCCTTTGTTTCAGCAAAGGAAGAAGGACAGTAAGTTTTTTAGATACTAGCCGCATGTCTCTTGCAAAAGGAATCTGTAGGAAGTTCAGAGATTTATGTGTGTTTAGAGAGACTACCTTTCTGTAACATGCTGACCATACTTTTATAAGGGGTTTTCCTAGATGCAGCTTTTCAGGTCTTGATAAACTGCAAGCATAGTGCTGATCACAGTGGTGGGAAGGGGAAAGAAATGAAAACAGGAATGTGGTTTTCCTTCTTTTGTCCTTCACATGTCTTTCTCCCCAGCCCATCCTGGCAGGAGAAAGGTTTTTCTCAGAATGGGAGTTAGTGACATTGTCCCTGGGCAAGCGGGGATACCAGCTGTATTCTCCAAATGGAGAACAAGGAGGGATCCAAAGCATCCACTCTCGTTGACTGTAGAGCATTAAGGAAAGAGACTCAAATACAGAGCAGAGTCTCTTTCCTGGGGTGGGTGGACGAGTGGAGAGCTACTACTGTACCAGCCTTGATTCTTGATCAAGGCAAGGCACTTGCAATCCTGGAGCAACTTCTTGCAACTGCAGTCAGAAGGGGACAATAAAATCCATAGTGATAAAAATTACTTACCTGTACTACGTATCCAGAGGTACATTTAAAATTGGCAGGCTGAGGAGCTCCATTGATCAAAATGTCACCAGAAAGCCCATGGGGTTCCTTCCTTGCGGCCAAAATGTCAAGTAGACTAGGAGAAAAGTTGGTTACTTTATCAGACAGGCATGTAAGAGGTAAGCTCTCTGGGCCATAAACCCAGTTCATGGAACGAACAGCTACCCAGAAACGTTCCATGTTAAACATTTGCTATTTAGAAAAACCCCAGCAACTTTCAAGGGCTGAGTTTCTTCTGTCCTGGTTTCCTAATTAAATGAGATCTGTGCAACTTCATACTGCATTTCTGTCAACTCATTCAATAATATGAACTTAACCTAAAATGATACATAAGATGTGGACTAAAATTGAATTACATTCAGGTATTTCTCAGAAACCAGTGAGATTTGCATAGACCTAAATGAAAACAAAATCTTTCTCTGAAAGTATTGTCCATTACTGCTAAATATGTGCAGGTTCGTTTTCTCCTTGGTGTAATTTCCGTCTAGTGCGAAGAGGGCACTTACGAAGATTTACCACTGCCAGTGGGTCCCAAAATTGCATTCAGTCCTGGTCTCATGATGCCGCTGTAAGACAAAACAGATAGGTATTACGAAATAGATAGGGTGTTTTTAGTTCTCTTACTGTTTCATCTGATAGGCTAGTGTAAATTATCTGTAGAACTACCTTCTGCATCCTATTAACCTTGGAATTAATGAAGCTGCCTGATCACAATATTTATGATCAGTCAAACTCTACCTTAGTTTTTATTCCTAATTCAAGAACTAATCTTCGTATAATGAAGGCAACACAGAAACTTGAGTAAAATGTAGCAAAACCTGTATGCATGCTTTTCCCCCATGGATCTCTAGAAGTGAAACACACACTTGCTTTAACCACATTCAATTCTAAAGGTATTATTCACTTAGCAGAGAGAATAATGGTCCCAGTCGACAGAACGTGCTAGGGATTTGTCTGTGCTTACAGAAACTGCAGTTGATAGTTTCTTTGTATCTGATTTTAAGCCACATGAAACTCAAAAGCCAGACAGAAATGGTTTTTAAGAATTCGAGGAAAAGACCCTATAGAAATGATACAGTATATGGAAATACTGCTGCCTTTGTTTTTTTTAATCTTTTTGCTGGAACATGTGAACGCGTCACTGCTATTTTTCCTTGACTAGGCCCTAAAATGTGTTCAACAAGCTTTGGTCTAGAATCATGCTGCACATACAAGTGCCTGTCTGTATGTTTTGATACCAGGTTTATCTTGAACTGCACTCTGGTACTGGTTGTTATCAGCAATCCAGGTATCAGCGATCTGAGTACTTGGCTGTGGGTCTGGCCCAGGATAGCTGTTCTTAGGGTCTAATGATGCGCAGCCTAGGAGGCTTGGTTTTGCTCTTCCTGATGCATATTTGTTTCCTTCAATTTCTTACCGTAGAAATTTGTGGTGCCATAGATTGAGAAGCATACACATTATACATACCTTACATTATATGTGATTTTAACACAAAAAAACCCAATATGTAACAAAACAAATGTGGATGTTGCATTTTCTAAAAAGGCAAAGCATAATGTGTTTTAATCGTTGGTCTTTTACAATAAGCCACAAGAGGGGCCTTCCACTCACATTATTGCAAATGACCAATGTCAGTCAGTTGAGGAGAGTAGGAAAGATTTTAAGAGCTCATGTTTAGGAGGTGTGGAAACTGCATGGGCAAAGAGCAGGACAGACAGAGCTACACAATAGGGTGAATATTTATGATAGAAATTGGAGTTAGGGAGCTGAAAGTCATGGGTGACTTGGAATGGCATGTTGTATGAGTACTTCCCGCTTAGCTTAACTGCTGAACTGTGAATGGGCAAACTCTATGCATAGATTATTGAACAAAGGCCGTAATGATGTGATTCCTTTACTGCAGTAGTGCTCAATGTTGAAGAAAAAAAAAAAAAAGAGAAAACTTAGAAAACTTTACAACTCTTCAAAGTTAACCTAACCCTTGTTTATATTACTGTCTTAAACATTTTAAGTTAAAATCCCCCAAATTTACCTTCCCAACGGCCACCTTAGGGAAAG